TACATAATATTATATTTAGAATTAGATAGTTCAGCTTAGGAATTACTTTATTATATTACACAAAAGCATGAGTTGTGCTTGTGAGTTTTGTGGTAGGTAGATGATGTAATTCGATGTTTATAGAGGATTTTGGCGATTTAGTAAATTCGAATGAAATTTATTTTTGGTGAATCTTCTCCGGATTATTTGTAGGTACCTTATATAATTATTATTTCATTTAATATTGTTACTACCTCACCATTCCATCTCCAAATTTATCAATCACTATTACCAGTCTGCGTTATACTCACACAAAATAAACATTTCATTTCAGGACCTTTAATATGTTTATGGTTGAGTTTTGTGACATTTAAGTTAGTGTGAATAGAGAGCTTCAATAGTAATAGTGAATGGTTGACATGAAATTAGAATTGGTTTTGGTGATCTCATCTTTGGTATAGGTCAGTGTGGTTCATATGCGACACTTAAAGCCTTTTTTTCCCTCCTTAGTAGATATTTTTATTATTTAATAAGATAAATAATAAAAAAAAAAAAACTAATGAGGTTAGCAATGACATTGCTGTAGTACTAATTTATAATTATTGTATAGTTTGATTACTGTGGATAGACATTTTAATAATTAAGCATTTAGGTAAATATGAATTTCATTGTTATGTTTAATCATTTATAAATTATAGTATACAATATGTAGATTAAAAGTACTTTAGTTACACAATCCAATCCAATAATGCTCGACACGCTTCGGCTTCGGCGAGGTTCCGACGGAACATCCCTACTCTTACTTGGCCATGAATATAAAAACCATTTCATGAGAATAATCATAAATATCTGTCCTTGACCGGTCTAGTTATTATGTTAGTCAACGATTGAGAGTTCGATGTTGTAAACGCGTAGTTGGTGTACGTCTGTCGTAAATTCAACAATTAATACTTTTATTGTTTTCTTTTTTGTAAGTTATCTAATTTATTATAATAACTAACATATAATAAACTAGGCGTATAATTTTATTGCAATTATATCATTGTTAGTTTATGTATGCGTCTTATATTTATTTTATATGTATGTATGTATATATATATATATATATATATATATATATATATATAGAGTTGGGCCACCACTTTTCAGCAGTTGCACCTATTTATATCTGATAATTCACCATGTAGCGTTACAATTGATTATATATAAAAATATGACATTTTACATTAAAAAAATGTTGTATGTTATAGCCGAGTAAAATTTTAAAGATGACTTATAAATTAACATACTTCAACTTCACTGCTCTGGGTGAACCCATCCGATTCCTGCTATCTTATTTGAATATTGATTTCGAAGATAACCGTATTGAAGTCGAACAATGGCCATCAATCAAACACAGTAAGTCTATTAATAGTAATACATGAAGAGTATTATATTACTTTATATTGATATTAATTTGGTTATATCTTTTACGTTGTTATTYGTTAAGAGGACGCCACACCAGCATGTGTTGTTTCCGTCTTACGAGCACGTAACATAACAAATTTTACTCTCAGTAGATCACGTTTAGTTCTGTTAGTTTAACATTTTGAGTGAATTGACCACTTATAAAAATTAATGGTCACATTATTATCCAGGACATCACATTGGATTTTTATGATGTTTTAATTTTTAAGCGAGTTATGAGTATTTTAAGATATACAAACTATTTACAATTTTGAAATACTCATTACTCGCTTTAAAATTAAGATATCATGAGATATCTTGGGTAATTGTCTTACCTTTGATTAGTTTAATTTTTATAAGGGGTCAATTCACTCTAAATTTTAAACTAACGGAGCTTGATGTGATTTGCAAAGAGTAAAATGTTGTATGTTACACACTTGTAAGACTTGTAAGACAGAGAGAACACATGTGGTGTCTTTTTAAGTCAACTTAATGAATAATGTATGTCAAGGATATTTCATAAAAGTAGGCAAGATAATGAACCATTTAACTTTGGGTAATTAAGTAAAATAAGTCAAAACGTAAAATTATTAATTACTTAGGTACCTAATAATATAATATTTTACTCAAAAAGTTTGAATTTCAATAAAACCTATGTAGAAAAGTAGTAACTTAACTCAGTTAAAAACAATTAAATTCATTTTTGTTAATGTAATTACTACCTGCATTGGCTGCATTAGAAAAATTACACAATTTTCAAGTTGAATAAAAACAATTTCGCTAAAATTGTACCCTACTGTTCCTCTTATTTTTACTCGCTAAAATACAATGCATCATATAGTTCAGATAGCTTTTCCTCGTCTAATATTTATAGCGCCATAGGTATAATGTATATATACCTATATATACATATTATATATGAGTATTATATGTTTWTTTTAGCCATCCCGTATGGCAAACTCCCGTTGTTGGAAATCGATGGTAAAGTATTGAATCAATCTAAGGCTATCTGTCGATATTTAGCTAAAAAGGCTAATTTAGCTGGTAGCGATGATTGGGAATCTTTATTGATAGATATCGCCGTTGAAAATTTCCAAGATTTTCGTCTAAGTATGTACGAGTTTCTGTTAATGTGCCCACACTGATTGAACTATTTAAATTGTTTAATATTATTTTTAAAGGTATAATATCTTATTTTTACGATCCAAATGAAGAATCTAAAGCTGCAAAATATGTTACGTTGGTCAATGAAACAATTCCATATTATATGGAACGATTTGAAAACATTGTTGTTGAAAATAATGGATACTTTGTAAACGGAAAGGTAAATAATGTATTAAACCGAAATGATTTAATTATTTTTTTGTACCAAATTTAAATTATTGTAAAAGTACCTACATCATTCAAATATTTTTGTAACATCGTGTTATCAAAATACTAATATAATAAATGCAAAAGTTTTAAAAACTTAAAACTAATATTAGTTATTTCGATATATACCGCATTGTTATTAGGTAACGAAATACATTTTATTAGGTTTATTTAAGACCGGCACAACTGCAACCAAAAATACTGCCAAGCTTATACAATAATTATCTGAAAATTATTTAATTCAAGTATAACATTATTTAATAATAATAGTAATATCAGAGTTAATTTATCAGGTTTCCAATTACTTGGTAGCATGTATGCCGAGAAGCTTAGTAGGTACTTAGAATATATTTTTCGTTACATTGCAATTTTGTTTTATTTTAGATATTTTATTAATTTAGTTTTGTTTGGTAGTCATGATTTAACATTTTGTGTTTTTTTATACAATGTGTTTAAGTATTAAGCAATTGTAACTTACCTAT